CTATCCTTCCTTGCCAAGTCATATTATAACACGGAACTTCTTCGAGAACGATTGAGAATAGTTAGCTTTGTGCAGTGTTCCTGCTAAAAGTTACCGGATTCTTAAAGTTTATCAATCTATCTCTCTCCCTTTTCATGAATAGTTTTTATGAGGAGTGTCTTTCCCTCGTGGTGTCTTCTTAGGTACACCTGGCCCTAGGATTATGAAACAATTTTAGACTTAAAAACTTTTGCTTAGCCAATTACGAATGACACCACTTTTCAGGACGATGTTTGTGATTAGCTTCCTGGGGCCTGGTTAGCCTGCTGTCGTATTTTTGTAAGAATGTTGGGCGCCATTCCAGTGAGATGGCACTTTAATATAGTGAGTAGCCCCATTATCTTTGGAAACTATCTTAGCTCTATTTTGTTGTGATGACGCGGAATACCAATTAGGCAAACGAACAATGGAGTAAAATCCCTTACATATGTGCACTGATATTTACTATCTGGCATCATCCTCTAGATTTGAAGTCGATACATTATAAAAATCATGGTCTATCGAACTATAAATGTCTCACCTTAGCGGAGACGGAAAACATTCTGTAATGTTGTGTAATATTGTGCGATGCTATTTGAGTGAGGAATGTGTGATGTGGCATTGTAGAAGTGTGAACAACCTTACTACCGTGACGCTGGGTATTGTTACAGACTGTGTGAAGTGTTACACCTGACATGGGGACCCCACACACTTTACTATACAGGGTACAAAAGGTCGGGTACCGTAACAAGTAAAGGGTCCTCGCCCTGTTTATACTAGATAAGTAGTATAACCGTGTCGTAAACCCATATCAATCTGCTGACCTGTCAACGGGGACAAAACACACCAAACACCCTTTGTTACAAATTCCATGTTATCGTCAGTCAGATTCCTGGAGATAGTGTCTAACGCGCGTATCAGTTCCGCCCACCAGGAATCGGTATACACTAAATAAAGGCTCTACATTTGTTCATTGTGTGTCACTGGTGATTTATTCACAGTTTCTTTAAATGTAATGTAAACATTTTACAGATATGTCTTAGATCAGAGTTTTATGTCGACTTTTCACAGACACGGTTCAGTTATTCAGATTTCCGCGTCCATGTCCGGTCAGAGGTACACCGATGGTACGACTTGGTGCGTGAAGTCAGAGGTACACCGATTGAACGGCTTGGTGCGTAAAGTCAGAGGTACACCCGATGGTACGACTGGATCCATCAATCGAATCAATCGACTGACCTCGGCTAGTTTCGGTACCATTCATCAATGACGTAGGTACGGAATCTGCCGATTTTATGAGGAGTGTCAGTCAGAGATACACCGATGGCATGTCTGGGTCCGTCAGGTCAGAGGTGTACCAATTGGAGACAGTCAAGTCAGAAGTTTACCGATTTGAGTCCGTCAGGTCAGAGGTGTACCGGTGTGAGTCTGTCAGGTCAAAGGTGTACCAATAAGGCTTCGTGAGGGCATAGGTGGACCTATGTCGCAACAGGGTCCGTCAGCTCAGGGTGTACCGATTTGGGTCTGTCAGTTTAGAGGTGTACCGATGGCACGAGAGTACGTAAGGTCAATAGTGTACCGATTGTTTTACATAGTGGAGTTCATGTTCCACCGTGTTGTGTTATCATGGAACTGATCCTCGTGTTGTTTGCCAATGAGGATGTAACGAGTTCGATATGTTCCCGAATGACCTATGTCTGATTCAGTCAGTCATTACGCTTTCCCTACTAGCACCCCCATCCGAACACGTCATAAACGTTCGCAAGTGAAAATAGCGCATCTTTTAGAACGATTGTGTAGACGTGTAGACCACAACCACGGCATAATCCCATTTTATAAAACCACCGTTGCTCGTATGTCAATCTTCCTTTTAGCGACCCCACCCTATACATTGATCACGAAGATGTTCGCAATGACAGCAAATTAATAAAACTTAACACAATAGTACGATATAAAGTATTAAGTATATCAGAACCACTTGAAAGGCTTCCAAACCACTTGAACTCTAAATAGCAGTATTTATAACTGTTGAACTGGTTTTGTTTCTCGAGGATCGATAGAATCGCTGGACGAGTATGACCGTACAAGGACACCGCAAGAGCGACGTTATTAGCACGGCACCTGTGACGTCACCCGTTTTCTATATATATAATAATCGAACTGGACATCAGTGTGTGTTTAACCCCGAAGCACCGATTCAAGCGTTGTAGCTTTGAAACTGCTGGTTCTGTCACCTTTGTGTGTGTTAACGGCCAACACAAAAGTACCTATATAGGTGGGAGGGGTTTGTTTGGGTTGGTAGTCGGTGCCGATGGCAACACCTAGATAATGGGTAGGAGGATCTGTACTCGAGGGAGATAGGGGAGCTGTTTATATTCCAATGTGGAAAATTCCCAAAACTCCATTTACATTGGTATTACGGTAATATACATAATCACTTTGCTCGGTGTGAAAATACATGGTCCGACTAACATATATTTAATTAGAATGTATTTAGTGTCGCTGCTCTGGGTCGATTGCTAGTGATCATGTCGTGTTATCAGACATCAAATCGAGTTATTTGGTTATCACAACACGTTATCACCAAAGCTGGAGTTATCTTGCGATCATGTCGTGTTATAAGCCATAGCTCGAATTAACTAATAATCATGTCATATTATCGGCTCAGGTCGAGATTATCTGGTGATCATAAAATAATGTTATCAGCCCAATGCTCGACTTAGCTAACGTTCTTTTCTCGTTATCAGCCACGTGCTCGATTTCACTGGTGATCATGTGGTGTTATCAGTCCCAGGTCGAGCTATATGTTGATAATTTTGTGTTATCACTCCTGGCTCCAGTCATTTGGTGATCGTGTCGTTTTATCAGCCCCAGATCAATTTATCTGGCTACACGCTCGATTCCTCTGGTGATTTTGTCGTGTTATTAACACAAGGTTGGGTTATTTAGTGATCATGCCGTTTTATCAGTCCCAGGTGGAGTTATCTGGTGATTATCTGGTGTTATCAGACCCACAGGTCGAGCTTTTGGTGATTATGTCGTGTTATCAGTCCAAGGTGGAGATATCTGGTGATTATCTGGAGTTATCAGACCCACAGGTCGAGTTTTTGGTGATCATGTCGTGTTAACAGCCCCAGGCGGAGCTATCTGGTGTTTATCTGTTGTTATCAGACCCACAGGTCGAGCTTTTGGTGATTATGTCGTGTTATCAGTCCAAGGTGGAGATATCTGGTGATTATCTGGGGTTATCAGACCCACAGGTCGAGTTTTTGGTGATCATGTCGTGTTAACAGTCCCAGGTGGAGCTATCTGGTGATTATCTGTTGTTATCAGACCCACAGGTCGAGTTTTTGGTGATCATGTCGTGTTAACAGTCCCAGGTGGAGCTATCTGGTGATTATCTGTTGTTATCAGACCCACAGGTCGAGTTTTTGGTGATCATGTCGTGTTATCAGTCCCAGGTGGAGTTATCTGGTGATTATGTCATTTTAACAGGCCCAGGTGGAGTTATTTGGTGATTATCTGGTGTTATCAGACCCACAGGTCGAGCTTTTGGTGATTATGTCGTGTTATCAGTCCAAGGTGGAGATATCTGGTGATTATCTGGTGTTATCAGACCCACAGGTCGAGTTTTTGGTGATTATGTCGTGTTATCAGTCTCAGGTGGAAGTATCTGGTGATTATGTCGTTTTATCAGTCCCAGGTGGAGTTATCTGGTGATTATCTGGTGTTATCAGACCCAAAGGTCGAGTTTTTGGTGATCATGTCGTGTTATCAGTCTCAGGTGGAGTTATCTGGTAATTATGTCGTGTTATCAGTCCCAGGTGGAGTTATCTGGTGATTATCTTGTGTTATCAGACCCAAAGGTAGAGCTTTTGGTGATTATGTCGTGTTATCAGTCTCAGGTGGAGTTATCTGGTAATTATGTCGTGTTATCAGTCCCAGGTGGAGTTATCTGGTGATTATCTGGTGTTATCAGACCCAAAGGTAGAGCTTTTGGTGATTATCTGTTGTTATCAGTCCCAGGTGGAGTTATCTGGTTATTATGTCGTGTCATCGGCACCAGCTCAAAGTTATTTGGTAATATTGTCGTGTTATCAGTCCCAAGTCGAGTTTCGTGTTGATCATGTCGTGGTATCTGCCCCTGGTAAAGCTTTATCTGGGGATCATGTGGTCGAGTTATTTGGTAATCCTGTGGTGTTATCAGTCCCAGTCCGATTTATCTTGGTTGCAGGTCCTTTTGACCTGTTTCACTTTCCTTGGTCTATGATATCTAGGTATAACATCATCAGTTCATTTTCAGGCAAAGGATACAACCCACACAGAGGAAACCAGACTTGTTAGAACAAAATTTCTATGCACACAAAGGTGTAAAATGTGAACGAGTTGTCCACAAAAATCGATCTGAGGACAGCGACAGTATTGTCTAATAAGTGTACACCGTTTACAAGTTCGATTTAATTCTTCAGCAGTTTGAAATATCTGAGGATAAACGGCTCTGATGACAATAAGATGGAAGTAAATTAGACAGTTTAATAGCGCTCGGGCAAACTGGCAATGCGGTTAGCATATTTTCTAATGTATGCAACTCCACGTGACCTCAGCTTTATTTCATATGCAGAACTTAGCCATTAAATTTGTATACGTTGCCTGAAGTGTGTATATATATACATCGCCTGTATGTCGTTCAATCATGGACGTGTATCTTTATTTAATCATATCTATGTGTCTTAATGTAAAACGCTAAGAGGAAAGATTTATGAATGCAAATGTGGAGATCTCCATTTTTTTCTTGTCTAATGAAATTTCATTTAATCGTATATGTGAAACGGCAACAAAAAAAACGAACGTGTTTCATAAACGTCAGTAAATGTATTAAATATGGCTCCCATGCTTTGTTAATGAAATAATATAGTTACACAAAAGTAGTCGTTAAATTAGTTTTGGCTTTTTTGTACAAATGTTTCTTCTTCTTTTTACAGTTGCCCATTCTGAGTTATATGGATACGGGTTCAGACCATACGAGTACATGCCGCCGCTAGATGGCGCCAACACAACAACTTCCGTCGGACGGTTGCAGGAGAATATGCTCGGAATGTATAGCCTGCGCTCCTTCCTGTACCCGAAGCTGCTGGCGGCGGCACTCTATGTAGCCACTCTTTGTGGTTACACCGGCTCGCCAATGCTTGTAAGTAGTGATTTTGTCATAGTGCTTATTACACCTTTACAATTATGAAGAAAAGCACAAGAGACTATATGGTAAATTAATATTGCTTATATTCGTCAATTCCGAGTATAATTAGGATTTGATATGTTGATTGCTAGAACTCGATTTGTATGCAACTGGATCCTTTTATTCAGAATGATAACAAATAAAAATCAGTCGGAAGGTTACTATTCTTAAGCATGGATTGAAACGGTATAGACCGGGTACTTGATTGCAATATTATGCGGTCTTCATTAAAAGTATTTTAAATCAAGCTATTGCAATGTCTGCTGATTTCATGTACGACTATCCTTTTTTTAATTATCTGATGTTTGTATTCAGTAAGAAAGTGTGAGATTTATTTAACATCTCGTTCCATTTCAGTTTTGGAAGATGTTTCATACTTTTGTGACGTCATGCCTGCCTATTGCTGTCTACACCTTCACCAAATCTCTTTACCAGTCACGTGATGTTGCGGTTCTAGCATCTGTCCTTTCATCCACGTCTGTCTTCCTGTATGTACTTGGAACCCACACTCTAGTCAACAGTTTTGTTTCTCCCTTTCTCTTCTGGTCACTGGTACCGTTAATCAATTTGTTGGTTAACAAATCAGAAAGCCAAAATCGAGTCAGGACGCCGAAACCAGAAGTCAAGGCGAGTATCTCTGATACAGCAGGCGTTACCTTTAAATCAAAAGAAATCTCGAATAAAGACAAGAGTACTGGTGATCAGGAAGTTGATGTTGAAAATCTCCAACCGGAAGTTGAATATTACGATGAATGCAGGAAAGCAGAACAGAAAACCATGGAAACACATACCGTTGGTGAAATAGTACCACCTAAAAATGGCAATGTAGAATGTGAAACAACAGAATCAACAAACTGCATCAGTAACGGTGGCATAGCAAAACCACTGACAGAAACTACAAACGGACTATATCCATATACAACACTGCCCTCAAGTGGAAACCGACTGACCAAGGGTATAATTTATGAAATAATGCATCACTGTAAAGAACAGAGTCGGTTGACAATGCCATATTTTAAATACCGACAAAACACATTTATGAGTGGTGACCGGAAACACGTGACCTATCTAGAGGACACTCTGATATGTTACGATTCGCCTGGCATAATCGAGCACCAGATGGGCGTGGATTTCAACCATAACTCTAGCGATCTACACAAACCAAACTATGAAATACCACAGCAAAGAAATGATACAAAAGTGTCAGAAATTGAAAACGTTGCAGAAAGAATATCAAAATCGTGCTCAATAGTAAATGACAGCAACAAAACACAGGAGAATATTGGAAGTCAACACCATGAGAGTTCTTCTATCGACAAAAATATTTGCAAAGGGGATTGTCAGTCAACTAACGAAATCATAGGACAATCACGTCCTATGCCTGACATATACGACAAGAACGCAATGAATGGAAGGCAAATACATTCGCCGAATGAAAGGAATGAGGCACCATTAGAGAAAGAACTAGTCCAGACTGTTTCTGCTGACGATCGTGATTGTGACGTAGATTCGTCAAGGACCTCTCTATTTGTAAACTTTAAGATGACTTATTTATTTTCGGGCTTTACCCTAGCAATGTGTATCTACATCAGGGCTGATCTCCTTGTGTTTATCGCATTTCTCGTTTTGCCATATGGAAGGCGTATGTGCGACTGCAATTTGTTGACGTCACTTCCGGTATTGCTATATTGTATTGGACTAATGGCAGGACTTTCTTTTGGTATCTTTGATGATTGTTATAGTTACAGATCGTTGGTTATCTCCCCTTGGCAATGGGTCAATTTCAATGTCATCAGAGACAGGTCCGCCATATTCTTTGGTACAAAACATTGGAGTTTTTACATTCGAGCATTGTTTACCAAGGATGAGGTCATGTCCGCGTGCCTGGTCGTCAGCGCACTGACATTTACGGCGATGAAGTGTAAAAAAATCAGAGACCATGAACGATTCATGACAGTTAACGTCAGGTTATTTATTAGTTTGTTGGCATTTTTTATCACTCACTCGTTAAATAGTCATAAAGAGGTAAGATTTTTACACGATTTTATTGTTTTATTGTTAACATTTTACGCCAGTTTTATTGTGATCCTAATCAAAACCTGTAAAGAATATCTTATTCAAAACAACTTGAGTCAGTTATCACACAGTATTGAAGTGGCTTTTGTGGTCTACTTGTGTTCTAGTCAGTGGCGATATTTCCCCGGTCCAACGTCTGGGTGGGCATACCGGGGTCTCCTTAATACCAACCATGTCAACGTGTGCTTAGACTTTTTACGTCAGCAGAATGACGTCACTGGAGTTTTCGTTGATACGTCGATCCACGAGACAGGTGCGTTTTCTACACTTCACAAAAATGTACCACTAATCGCCCTTATCCACAAAGAGTTTTACGAGTTTGAGGCGGACTCTCGACTCTCTCTCAAGTCCGCCTTGTCGTACTTGAGTCGGACGAACAACTTGTCATTGTCTGTCCTCACGCAGGTATCTGACTTTATTTCCGTGTATAACACACCGTACCTGCTGAAGACCCTCATCAATAAACCAGTGTACAATTATCTAGTCATGTCAACAGATCGAGCGTTCATAGAGGTTGGCTTCCGGGAAGTGTACCGTATTGGAGATATGAGGATTTTAAAACGTTCATTTATTTCGGAAGATGAGGTCAAATTGAAAGCAATAGCGAGTAGAATACAACTTGGGCCGAACTGTAAGATACTGAACTACGAGGCTAACTGGCTGTTAACGTTTGGACAGTACGACAAAGCTATAAGTAAGTTATCATATTCTCTAGAACTAGACAAAACAAATCTGCAGGCTCATCAACTACTGATGGAGGTGCGACGCCGTCAAGGTGACGTCACTGGTGCACGTGTCGTATACAAGATGTGTGGCCAGTACCATGGACACCGATCGTGCACTTCACGACCAGGCAGGATCACCATCCACGAGGAGTACAACCTTAACGTCGATTTGTGAAGAGCATTATTATATAGAGCCCAAAAGAGAATGATAAATGGCAATGGTTTTTTTTATTTTGTTTTATTTGTGGCAATGTTTATTTTATGTTTTTATTAATGACTTGTTTGATATAGTTACTATAATATTAGTATTTAAATCAGAGTAGCTGTTGATATGTTTACCTCTGTACAATGTATTACATTCCCTTTTTGTTTGATTTTTTTAGAGTCGAGATTTTCGGCTCTATTTGAATAACGCGATACTCCAAACTCGAACGGAACTACTTTTTCAATATTGCGGCGCCGAAAATATTAGCTTTAAAATGGCCACAAATTGGCATCAGCCAAATTAATAAATCTGTTTAATATTTGACATGATTTCCATTAAAACCTGCTTTTTATGGAAAATGTGTTTCCGATTTTAAATTAATTAATTAATTTTACGCAAGCATGGCTACTTTTTCTGTTATGAGACCGCTGAGTAACCTAGGTCCCGGCTACCACAAGTACATTTTACTGTCGCCTCGGTCAATATTGTTTTCTTTGGTTAATATCACAACATATTTACCAAGCAATAAGTTAATAATTGTATAACTCGACCTTTGACCTCAGTCGATATTGACTTTTTGTGCTTCATAATATCTCACTGAAAATGCCATCAATCTTATGAACTGATAATGTATATCTGATAGGGCCTATTTAATAACTGTGTGATCATTTAATCATTTTTTTCTTTGATATTTACATCCATATTGATTGATATATGTCGGACCACGAGAACTAAGCAAAATCTCATGTAAAAAATGTATGAAACATAGACTGCGCCTGACACATGTTATACAGCGTGTGTTAATAATAATGGTCGATACCAAACATCTTATACAACGCGTGTTAATAATAATGGTCGATACCAAACATCTTATATAACGCGTGTTAATAATAATGGTTGATACCAAACATCTTATATAACGCGTGTTAATAATAATGGTTGATACCAAACATCTTATATAACGCGTGTTAATAATAATGGTTGATACCAAACATCTTATATAACGCGTGTTAATAATAATGGTTGATACCAAACATCTTATATAACGCGTGTTAATAATAATGGTTGATACCAAACATCTTATATAACGCGTGTTAATAATAATGGTTGATACCAAACATCTTATATAACGCGTGTTAATAATAATGGTTGATACCAAACATCTTATATAACGCGTGTTAATAATAATGGTTGATACCAAACATCTTATATAACGCGTGTTAATAATAATGGTTGATACCAAACATCTTATATAACGCGTGTTAATAATAATGGTTGATACCAAACATCTTATATAACGCGTGTTAATAATAATGGTTGATACCAAACATCTTATATAACGCGTGTTAATAATAATGGTTGATACCAAACATCTTATATAACGCGTGTTAATAATAATGGTTGATACCAAACATCTTATATAACGCGTGTTAATAATAATGGTTGATACCAAACATCTTATATAACGCGTGTTAATAATAATGGTTGATACCAAACATCTTATATAACGCGTGTTAATAATAATGGTTGATACCAAACATCTTATATAACGCGTGTTAATAATAATGGTTGATACCAAACATCTTATATAACGCGTGTTAATAATAATGGTTGATACCAAACATGTACGGATTTCATTTTTAATTGGCAATAATTAATTTGTGACGTTTTTATTATCTACTCTTCCTTGTTATGATTAAAGTACATTTGACATGTTCCATTGTCGTCATACTTTTGTAGGATCATAATGTTTGGAGATTTTATGAAGTACGTTTATATCACAGTTCATGTTACTGTCACATATGAAATTTTACATTTGTCAGTTTGTCATAATAATAATTTCTCACGGGTTTGTTGATTAAAATATTCCTATTTTACAGCTTTAACGTTACACAAATACAGTGTGTAATATACTAGGTATTTCCTCGGCAGCTGGACGTATCACCTGACCGGGGAGTTCCATTATTTATATACCATACATCCTTAAGTATTTCGGCTGTTTCATACACACCATGGACACACTGACAACTAAGATTATCGATCACTGTCTTATTCAATGGAGAAGACATCTTAGACATCAAATGTATACATGTATATATATATTTATGAATACATTTTTGTTTAATTTATTAAATGTAAAATGATCAAAGTGTATGTTGTTTTGTTAGTTTGCGCTATGAACCTTGGGAGAAGGTTATTTTGTCGTAAAACCGTCGTCCAGAAGTACATGTATTTAACACCAGTCGTGACTTTAAATAGATAAAAAAGGTCATAAACACAAAACGAAAGGTGTTTATGTGTATACGAAGGTAGATAAAAAGACTGACGTTATGATTGATTTTTTTTTGTCCTGGGGTAAACATGTTCTAACAAAAAAAATCAATTAAATCTGGTAAACACGTTAATATACATGTTTGAAGTACATAAAACATGCCTGACCAAAATCTTATTGTGTCTACAATGAATTCCATCTCTACAGTTACTTAACTCATTTTCTAGCGGCAGTAGCTAAGTTATCCTCGTTCTGAATGCTCTGGGCAATACTAGTAATGATGCTTTTCATCGCATTGGTATATCAAAAGTTGAGATATACATTTTTTCAAAAAACTTTCGAATATATCAGACTTAAGAAAAAATCGACAATGAGTTGACGGATATCTATATGATGACAAGATCATCTTATTTAAATCTGAATATTACAGCAAATTGTTTTATTAAGTGAGCCCCGTTAAGGAATCTCTCGTACTAATGATCCTGATTTTATCAGCTAGCTTGTTAAGTGAGTTTAGACAGAACGATGTAACACCCCGTGATGGTGATGGGCGAGACACGGATGTGGAAAGACGAGTTATTTCACAGTGAAGCTCACGGATATGCGTGTTCATGGCTCATTGGTTGCAATATATAGATGTACAGATACACACATTAGCTATCTTTAAAGTGCACTTCGTCAAATGTTAAGTTTAAATATATCTATATATAAAATTAAAAAACAATAGGGTATAGTATACAGTCAAACAGATATTGTCCAATATCTAACTAGAAAAAATACGTGTAGGGTTTTATTCTGAAGCCACCAACCCACATCCCCTAGATTCCCAAATGGCGCTGAACTTGTTGACCGCTTGTTAAATGAATGTTTTGAATAACTGCTATTTTTGTATACTGATCTCAAAAGTTTGGAGTTATATTTTCCCGTGGTAAACGATCGTTTCAAATGATTTACCTTCAATAACCAACTTTTGTACAGGTATGTTTGCACACAAGAAACATTCTCCTTTCTCCTCCCGTATACAAATATTGATAGAGGCGGTTTTGTTGAAATGTTGTTTTCGCGTGTCCGATTGCAATACTACGCTGAAGTCGCTGGTCTTACTGGCATAGTTCACGGCCCTTGTTGAGGGTGACACACACACTGTAGGGGTTAATACTTTTATTTTGGGTTGTATGAAGGGGGCACCTTGAGGAAAAATAAACATTTTGTATTGTTTTAAATACGTAGTATACCAGTGGAACCTGCAATGCAATGTACAGATTTCAGCATAATATCGCTTTGCACTGATTATAGGTCTGTATCAATTATATATATATACGGTTATTACAATTTATAAATATTAGATGTACCGTGCTTGCTGACTTGGACTTTGAGACTACACTGATATGTATTGATGTGCAATATCACACAAAAACGTCGACGGGTCAAGATGCTACACGGTACTGGTCAAGATGCTACACGGTACTGGTCAAGATGCTACACGGTACTGGTCAAGCTACGTAACACACAGGAAGAATGACCCTGACTTAAGTTGTGGCATTATGTCATTAACGTTTTAGGAGTTCAGATAAACACTTGGTAGAAATGCCGATAGTACAGTATACAACATTTTCTAAACCTCAAAACGTCAGGTCGCCCAGACTCTTGTAAGATTACAAGACCAAAAACTAACGTGTACCAGGGGAATTACTCATGTTCTCAATCTGTATGGGTGTGGCCGGACCCAGAGGCAAAATCCTGGTAGCATACTTGTGTTTGTCTCTTCATGCCCTACAATCGTATTTTTTGGTTCCGGGACCAAGTCCCTGGTGGGGTGGGTTGAGAGACCTTCCTCAACTATAAGTTTCCCCACTCACGACTCGTTGGGTAAACTTGCTAGGAGTTGGTTAACAATTTTGGTGACCAGCTAGTGTGTAACACCCTGCTGGACCTGATTTTATTTGTCAATCTTCTAATTATGGCGTTATGTGACAATGCTTTGAGATGTCATCTTCGATTGTGACGTCCCGCTTCATATTTCACCCATCAAAAACAGATGTTATATATTTTCCAGTGAAAACTGGTGTGGATTCCAGGTGAAATATGGACGTTTTTGGAGAAAAATGTCCCCTAACAGGTGATGACTGGTGTTCATTTTCAAACTGTAAAAGACATTTGTAAACCCAGTATCTTTATACTTTTTTGAAAATTAACTAACTCAAGTTAGATAAACCTAATAAGCAGCCATCACTAGTTGGGGAACCTTTATTTATACAACACCGATTGCCTTGCCCCACGTTTTAAACCACACAAATTGCCTAATTTTGCCGTATATTGGACCCATCTTACGTCCTGCCCATCTGGACCAAAAGATTATTCAAACTTCTTTTATACAAAATATCATCGTCTTACTCAAGTGTGTTTCAGAACAATATGGTAAGGATCTGTGCAGCCCTTCTGGAAAAGTAACCCTTTGAACATTAATTTGCCTAATTTTATCCTATTTGGGTCCCGCCAGTCAAAACTCATTGGGTTTCAGCCTTCATTTATACAATACTAATTTAAATGTTCTACTGACGTTTCATCCTATGATTGGTTAATTAAACCATCAAGCCATTCAGGAGAAGTAGTCTTTTGAAGACTTGCCTCCAATTGTGGCCATACCCTTCTTTTTTCAAAGTTTGATTCTCTGGTCCTAAGGATGTGACATAGCAGATATGGTTGAAATCCACCCAGTTGTTCATGCAATCTGATTGAAATCATCTGTTACATGGCTCCGCCTGAACATCTGAATGTGCCGCGGTCAGGGTCACGTTCAAGTGACCTTTAGGTGAACCAATCAGAGGCGCAGATTAGTTTCCAAAACGAATATGGCGGCGGGAACTGACGTTTCTACGATGCCAAGGAAAACGTACCCATTGGGTAATAATTGCGTAGGCAACACCACCATACAGTCTTTCTTCTCTAATAAAGCTTCGATTTTTATTCTGTTCGGGTTTCAGACGATCTCAAATAACTTCAGAACTTTCGCATCATTCTCATCAATGTCCGACATATTTGTTACATCTTAGAGCGCCCTTTTGAAAGAGGGTCTCTGATTGGTCAAAATTTAATGAGTATTTATAAGTATAAAGGTCACCTGTGATTTTAATCAGATTGTTGTTCATGAGGAGCAAGATTTTCATGTAAAAGGTTGATGAAGGACGGATACTGCTAAACCTTTCTTTAATAAAATTTTAGTTTTATTGCACTTCAGCAGAAATTTACTGCAAGACAAAGGAAAACTCCATCCTGGTTTTATACACATCTCTCTGACAATCTCCAGTCCACACATCTCTTCCATTCCCATCTCATACTATTGCTCAAGGCGTGTGAAAAACAAACGAAACCCCATCATACACATGATCTGATTTCATTCATTTATATCTAACATTCGAACATCTCAAACTTTAACAAAATCTATGGCAAGATTAAAGTTTTGTCCATATATCTCTCACAATCTCAAGGTAATATTTCTCTCACAATCCAACGTAACCATACGTTGTTACAGAAATCTACAGCAAGATAAAGTTTTTTCTATATGTATCTCACGATTTAACATCTAATATCGTTACAGAAATCTACAGCAAGACAAATTTTTTTCTATATATATCTCACAATCCAACATCTCATATCGTTACAGAAATCTACACCAAGATAAAGTTTTATCTATATATCTCTCACAATCCAACATCTCATATTGTTACAGAAATCTACAGCAAAATAAAATTTTATCTATATATCTCTCACAATCCAACATCTCATATTGTTACAGAAATCTACAGCAAGACAAAGTTTATCTATATATATCTCATAACAGAACCTATTGCAGGATAAAGTTTTTGTCCACAAATATCTCTTACAATCCAACATATCATGTTGTAACAGAAATCTACAGCAAGACAAAATTTTATCTATATATCTCTCATAATCCAACATCTCATATTGTTACAGAAATCTACAGCAGGACAAAGTTTTATCTATATATATATCTCATAACAGAACCTATTGCAGGATAAAGATTTTGTCCACAAATATCTCTCACAATCTTATATATCTACTACAACAGAAATCTTCTGTCAGATAATGGATTGTCCACACCTCTCGCCCAGTCACACGTATGCACTGTAAAACAAATATCTGCTCCATCCCAAATTCACCTTTCCATCCTAAATTTACCTAGCCAAAGTTAAATGAACATCTCGTTGAAATCGTTTCAAGATGTAAACAATAAGGACATTTTTTAAAAACAAGACCTTGACCTAAATCCTTAAGTTAGTCCAAGGTGAGACCAATATGCACTGGGCTAACTGTTTCGAAAGATTGGACCATAAAGTTAAGCAATATATACCTTGATCTGCTATGCTCTCGATTCAGTATAGAGTTGGTTCTTCACTGACTTTTTTATATATAGGAAATCTTGACATGATCAGTAAAATTTCAGACATTTGATGTTCCAGAAAACTCACTAACCAGATGATGAAACTAAATTGATTTTGTTTAAGTAATGATGTTATTTTTTTCAATTATTTGAAAAAACTTGTTTGCCAGAGGTTTTAATAGGAACAGTCAAAATGAAAGCTTTGCCAATTCATCTAACTGCATGCATAATTAAAAGTGCAATTGGGACCAAATGTCTTGACAGTCAATCTTACCAAATCAACAGAATGTCCTTAAATAATTAATTAGTTCAATTACATGTTGACAACAACACTGGTGACTAGCCACTGGACACGGCACCTCGAGGATACTGAGGACTATTGACCTCCATCGACAAACGTAACATCACAACACAGTAAAACAACTCGTTTGAGGGAAACATAACAAATATTAAAATTCTGATATCACAGAGGATAATACCTGGACATACATGTATATTACAATGCCCTGCAACACATAAGTAGACAGTATATTAAAACCACAACATAATGCCTCTCATTTCATTTGCCATCTCGCTTACTGCCAACATATTTCAAGACCCCTTTTCTCTGTTTCTTAAGAATTCCTTATAACTTTTCTCTATTTATCATGAAAACCCTTTACAATCCCAAAATTTCTCCCCACAAATGGTGGCAGTATAACATGGTTTCACTGTATAATGACACTGTTGCTTTCTCATCAATCACAAAGAATACTGTAAAAGTAAGGCCGATTTTCCTAAATGACTGAGTATAAATACAGTCAAAATATCTTCGACTGGTGACTCCATCACCTATTTATGACTTAAATGTCTGCTGTTATGGTAGTTAGGAAATGTTGACCTATATCCTCCTCACATGGTGGTCTCTCTGCCAGACAAATTGGGTAACTGAAAAGGATTATACCACTCCAGCCAAAACTCCTGCAGTCGATTTTCCTTGTTTGAGCAAAAATTACGGAAATCAGCTAACATTTTGTCCTGAAAGAACTCATCGCCAGTATTTCCAGACCTCCAACGTTTAGATGACATGAAGTTCCACGACCAGAGATATCCAATCTTACTCTCGGGCTCTTGTTCCTGTTGTTGAAACTGACTCGACTGTGAGCGTTTGATGTAATCTTTTCGGAGCTCTGCGTTGGATTTCTTGTTAAAGCTAGAGCTGTATGGCGAGTCCTTGGCCACGGGGGAGGAGACGTGGCTGTCCTCCATCAGCACGAAGTTTCCGCCTGTACAGTGGACATAGTGGCTGTAGTCTTCGCCCTGACCCATTGGGTATGCATCCTCCGAGATATCACGCACACCAGCAGGCATGAACCCAAACCTGTGTGAAAATACAAACCAAAATGTACTGAAGTTTTGAGCAGGATTTCATTTCACTCATCATTAACATCATAGAGATGCAAAATAAACTGAAATCAACCAAAAGAGAACGTTTTGGAATATTTTTCCTTTCTGGAGTTTAGATACGCATGCCCCGTGATAGGGGAAGGGCACATGTGTACTTCCGGTTAATGCCAAAAATCTGACTCTTGCACACAACAATATGCAAAAACACTGGCATACAGTTTAGACAGCATGTCTAACGAGAGGTACGTATTAGAAGATATCCCTTACATGAAGGATGTGAAATTTTATCCATATTCCTCCAAATTTACCAATCTTTTGCTGCGACAAAGTTGGCATGCTACCGATTTACTTTCATACGAGAATTATACATGCCCCCTAATGCACCATGTGACTGCAAAATCACATGACTTCTGTCCAGGAAACTTGTATCTTGGAAACAATGTAATGTGGCTATATACTGACCGTTTAATGATGGCTATCTGGAAGCTGTGTAATTTCTCCCTCCAGCTCTGACCGTGTCCTGTGAAGAAAAGGTGAAATAGTGTACCTCGAAGTACCAACACCATTATCAGTATAACAAGTTTCAGTTCATAGCCATTAGGCATGTATTTAATTTCTTAACAAGAAACAGATGAAGAGAAATAGGTTTTATTGGATGTGTGAGAAATTATCATTACATCTATCAACTATAATATCCTTTTTAAGAGTTGTAGTTAGGAGTTAATAGTTGTAAAACACTTCCTTTATGATGTGGAACAGTGACACTAACCTTTGGTGATGATGGCTCTCCCATCTGTCAGACAGTCAATGTCCAGGGGTACAAAGATGGGGCCGCGGAGGGAGTCTGAGTCTGGAGCAGACGGCAGAGCAAAGGGGTCAACAGGTACAGGTATCAGATGGAATCCACAGCTGCTCATCTTCCTGGCCCAGCTGTACACCTGTGAAAACAACAGTGACAGGTTTCTAACACAGAAATATAGGCCAGAGAAAACTTTTAACCAGAGGACAGAGAAAGTGTATTTGTCATATAAAACAAAGGTCAGGATTTGTCTGGTGAAGTCCACAGAGATAAGTTTTCACTTAAGTAAGACCAAGAAACTTAAGCTGTAACAAAATCAAAAGTCAGAGTTGTCAGTCAAAGTATTATATTTATATAAATAAGGGTAAATTTATACTGAAACAAGATCACAGGTTAACTATTGCAGAAACAACCTTCAGAGGGATGAAGTACCATAGATGAAAACAATAGTGATTGGTAATCAATGAATAATTCTATGTAGCAGTCATGAGTTACATACCAATTCACCGAGGATACTGCCAGTGGCCACCATCCATTGAAGCTGTAGTTGGAAGGCACAAGTAGGGCTGTAGTAGGAGTGGTAACGGACAGTCGCCCATTCTGGCCGGTCACTCTTGTCCAAAACATCCACATCGATTGTCACATATTTGTGGAGTAGTGTGGCTATAACAATCAATCCTACCTATACTCAGTTAATGAGCGATCAATTTTAATGGAAACGCTCTGAAGGCTCATTAACATAACAGGTCATGTAATTAAGGCCTGAGAAAGTAGAAAGTGAGCAGACAGAAAAAAGTGAGTAAATACTAGAAAGTGAGTAGATACTAGAAAATGATCAGACAGAAGTAAAGCCAGCAGACTGAGGAAACCAAGCAGATACTAGAAAGTGAGCAGACAGAGAAAGTGAGTAGATACTAGAAAGTGAGCGGATACTAGAAAGTAAGCAGACAGAGAAAGTGAGTGGATACTATAGAAAGTGAGTGGATACTAGAAAGTGAGTAGATACCAGAAAGTGAGTGGATACTAGAAAGTGAGCAGACAGAAAAAAGAGCAGATACTAGAAAGTGAGCAGACAGAGGTAATGAGTAGACAGAAGAAAGTGAGCGGATACTAGAAAGTGAGCAGACAGAAAAAGTGAGCGGATACTAGAAAGTGAGCAGATACTAGAAAGTGAGCGGACTCCAGAAAGTGAACAGACAGAAAAAGTGAGCGGATACTAGAACGTGAGCAGACAGAAGAAAGTGAGCGGATACTAGAAAGTGAACAGACAGAAAAAGTGAGCAGATACTAGAAAGTGAGCGGATACTAGAAAGTGAGCAGATACTTGAAAGTGAATGGACACTAGAAACTGAGCGGATACTAGAAAGTGAACAGACAGAAAAAGTGAGTAGATACTAGAAAGTGAGTGGATACTAGAAAGTGAGCAGACAGTAAAAAGTGAGCAGACAAAAGAAAGTGAGCAGATACTTGAAAGTGAGCAGATACTAGAAAATGAGCAGAAAATAGAAAGTGAGCAGACAGAAAAAGTGAGTAGATACTAGAAAGTGAGCAGACAAAGGAAAGTGAGCGGATACTAGAAAGTGAACAGGGTCATTATCATATTTGTAACAATAAGTATTCTTCTACCCAGTGCTACAAAGTTGACCAAAATTAAATCATAGTCAATCAAACATTCATATTGAACAACATTAACATTCATAATTCAATATTTAAGAAGTAAAATAAGTAAAATATGACCTTGAAATCCACCTTGAAGTCAAGCCTGATTAATTGGAGACTTTTTTTATATATAGATAACATGAAAAATCCTTATAATTAATATTTTTGGAGATTTCTCTGTGTACCCACCCAACTGTTGACCCCATTCCGTATTATCTGTGTCCAGGCTCATTTCCATCCTCCAGTCGTCCGTGGCAGGGTTAATAGAGGACAGAGATCGTGACCTTGTGGAGTCGGTTAGGTGTGACGATGTCTGATGCTGGTTCTCCTGTTCATCCACTGCTAACACGTTTACCTCAAAAAAGTTCCTCTGGAACAAAACGTTCACTGGCTGCTGTTCAATATCTGGGGGAAATTTAAAAAAGTTTGTTCACACATTCATTATCACTTGACTAGATGATTTCAGTATTATTCTATCGCTAACATTTGAACCTGTAGAATGTGTATTACTGACCTACGTGTGATAACACCATGTCTCCAGAGCTCAGTTGGTAAATCTTAAGAATGTTATTCTAGTGTAATGGTGTTTATAACTAGAGTTATATGATGAACAGGATCTTAAATGAGTTACACATTTTTTGAAACTTATTTAGGATATTTTTTGCTTTTGAAACTTGCTGAACATTTTTCATTACATGGCAACCATCTCAACAATCAATTTGTGTGACATGAGATCCATATTTCAGCCATATCTAGTGCCAATCCTGAATTTCTGAAAGGAGGGGACTAAAACTGAAGCTTGTAGCATTTTATTTGTTCCCTTTAATCTAGCCGAAAAAGTTGAGGGTCCTTTCTCCCTTAATACCCCGAGACCAACATTTCCTATAGATGGGAAAAGGCCTAGTTCTGCCACTTGGAAACATCTGCAGTGTCAGTTTCCAACGACCCTCATGTCCTTAGATATACTTTATTTTGCCAGTTGTTTAACTACCTTACACTTATACCTGTTAGTTTGTCAGAGTTGACTCCCTTACAGCCAGCTCTATTTCACAAATTTTATCCACATGAATTGTGACCCGTTTACTGACCTTTTGCCTTGTCCTTGACCTGTGGAATACAGTAGAAGTAGAACCCGTACACAAACTTGTGGTTGGGATTCCACGAGGCGTGCACTATCAGCTTATCATCCACAAGTACCTGTCATAGAAAGATCGGTTCAGTGATGATATTAGTGATCAACATAGGATATGTTGACGGATGAAATGAAGAAACGATAAATATGAGGAGTAAGTACTGTGGATATGCCGGGGCAGAGTTGCCAACTAGTCCGAATTATTCTGACGTTTTATCGACTTTTTTCATATCGGTCTGTCGTCGATTAACGTCAGAACTCCGGCCCTCTATAATATGCGGGAAATATGCGACCCGTGCCCGGAGCGCACTTCAAACTGATATTTTAGAAACAAATCGTCACTTTCACACACATGTCGCACATGGATCGAAAGATCTATTCTTTATGCACAAGATGAACATAAATTACATGCCTCAAACAACCAATACAATCACTAAAAACATATTTTTTCAAACTTACTCTGTTTTACTCTAGTTTTTTGATAGCCCCGCCTTCTAACGCCACGTGACTAAAATCTCGCCGGCTTACGTCATAACGTTGGGATATACCTTCGGTAACGCGAGATCTTGTCAAGTCATGTGACATTGCTCATGGCCTAATTTCCATTAAAAACATGGTTGGTATAGAAAACGTTGGAAAATACTTTCCATAATGATCTTTGAAACATGTTATTGATACCACCTAGTACATAAAGAATAGATCTTTCGATCCATGTGCGACATGTGTGTGAAAGTGACGATTTGTTTCTAAAATATCAGTTTGAAGTGCGCTCCTGGCACGGGTCGCATATTTCCCGCATATTATAGAGGGCCGGAGTTCTGACGTTAATCGACGACAGACCGATATGAAAAAAGTTAATAAAACGTCAGAATAATTTGGACTAGTTGCCAACATGCTTATCAACTTGGTGTTAACAGAAACATTCATTGTAAAAAATAGTTTTTAAACAAGAGGCCACCAGGCCTGTATCGTCCACCTGCCAATTAATGCTACAGGGAAACATATTTTAAATCTGTAATCTTCAGAATCAAATTGGGTCAAGGTTAAATACCTTCAAACAAATCCTGATGTTGAACAAACTAACACTTAGTATTCTAGCAAGCTTGATGACAAATTTTACTATTCTAGACATTAAGGACCTTAAAAAGATATTGTTAAAGATTTGAAGATTTTTACCCATTTTACTCTGAAAATCTGCCAAGGTCATTCACCTGAAATCTGCCAAGGTCATTCACCTGAACAAACTTGATAACATAGTTGGATGCAGGGTTTTAAAATTGCTTAAATAAAAGATCTTAGCCAACTTTCAAGGTAACAGGGATCGTTCATTTAAAAAACTTGATAACCCTGTATCCAACCATGCTGTAAGCCAAATATATTATAATGAGTAGTAGGTCCTACCTGCAGCAGGTTGATGGCATGACTCGTTGTCACGACGCCCTGGATGTTCTGTATACACCATGTGACTGCCTCCTCCGCGATGAAACAGTTGTTAGGCAAGCCTGGCTGTTTACTAAGGAAGGGCAGTCCAAATCTGTTGTAAAAAGTGTAACTGTTTAAAGGTATGACAAATATGGTTCAAGTCATTTAATTACTACTGACCTGTGTCTAATAACAACCAGTAGTGATATGTCCCTAGTTGCAATTTATATTGATCTCATCCAAATATTTGTCTCTAATGACATTTCCTTTGTAACGATATTTATTTGTCCTGGTAGCAATTTATTGAATGTCTAGTAACAATACATATTGACCAGGTCCTAGAAACAATCTCTGGTGACCTTCTCCTAATAACAAATTTCTAGTGATTAGTGATCTACGCCTAGTAACCACTGCTAGTGATCTTGTCCTAGTTACAACATCTTGTGGCATGAATTAGTGAGCTATTAACCACTGCTAGTGATCTTGTCCTAGTAACATCATCTTGTGGCCTTGATAAGTGACCTAGTAACCACTGCTAGTGATCTTGTCCTAGTAACACCATCTTGTGGACTGGATTAGTGACCTAGTAACCACTGCTAGTGATCTTGTCCTAGGAACAACATCTTGTGGCCTGGATTAGTGACCTAGTAACCACTGCTAGTGATCTTGTCCTAGTAACACCATCTTGTGGCATGAATTAGTGAGCTATTAACCACTGCTAGTGATCTTGTCTTAGTAACATCATCTTGTGGCCTTGATAAGTGACCTAGTAACCACTGCTAGTGATTTTTTCCTTGTAACACCTTCTTGTGGCCTGGATTAGTGACCTAGTAACCACTGCTAGTGATCTTGTCCTAGTAACACCATCTTGTGGCCTGGATTATTGACCTAGTAACCATTGCTAGTGATCTTGTCCTAGTAACATCATCTTGTGGCCTGGATTAGTGACCTAGTAACCACTGCTAGTGATCTTGTCCTAGTAACACCATCTTGTGGCCTGGATTATTGACCTAGTACCCATTGCTAGTGATCTTGTCCTAGTAACATCATCTTGTGGCCTGGATTAGTGACCTAGTAACCACTGCTAGTAATCTTGTCCTAGTAACACCATCTTGTGGCCTGGATTATTGACCTAGTAACCACTGCTAGTGATCTTGATACATGACTTTTTCCTACAAGCAGCATTAAATGCTGGATTAGTGACCTTGTTGTATTAAGAACATCTAGTGACCTTGTTCTAGTGATAACCTCTGGTGACCTTGTTCTAGTGATAACCTCTGGTGACCTTGTTCTATTGGAAACCTCTGGTGACCACTTACTGTGCGTCTAACATGGCCTCAATCAGTTTGGTTGGTGGAGAACCTGTAGTCAGAGTGTCCACATCTTTGGGTCTGGAATCAAATCAATATTTATACAAATTAATCATTTGACTTGTTTGCTCCCATACTCCCTTCTTTGTTGGAGAAATAAATGAAATGTTTAACTGTGTTTAACAGGCTCAGATCTAAACCGAGGCTGGGACAGGGACACATGTATATCGAGGTGTCCAGATGTGCCTGACCAAATCTAAAATGTTGACTTTCACTAGTTTGCATTATTTCTACATAAAACATGGTCAGTTCACATGTATGTTTCTGGAAAATTCAAAGGTTTAATGCGTGCATGAATTGGTCACAAAACTCCCAAACTGCATTTTTAGCTGTTTACTGTTCCAGTTCAAGTGTGTTTGTTTATTGCAGAATATTTCTGTGCCATCTGAACCATTTCAACTGGGATATTGAATTAATTTGTTTTAGAATCAAAGTAAAATAACATGTTTATATTTTACTACTTTACCATGTATAGTAACAATACCTTGAGGTGGCCTCTCCTCCTTGGACTGGTGCTGTTTTACTGGACTCTGAGGCGGTGCTACTCACAGACGAATCTCCTGACAGCTGGAAGCATTGAAATACAAAAAAATAAACTTATCGATGATAGCCACCAGAAGGCTCAAATTGGCATCCAACCTTTTATAAAACATATACATAAAGACTTAAGTGTTTAGAATGGGTAAAATGTGGTAATAGATATAGAGGCAGAGGTTTATGGAGCCGAGAACTAGATGTATACAAGGTGTCTAGATTTATAACAAGATTCTCAACTCAACACAAAAGGGTGTTATGTATGTTTGTTACTTATGTTTCACACACACATGAAACAAGAATTCCACGGAAGTGGATGTGTCACCTGCGCAGGAAGCTGGGAGATTGTGCTTAGCACTGCATGAAGTTTGAGTTTGATCGTCCCAAGGAAACTCAAGTAATTGCACGAAAACAGATTTTCTATTTATAGTAACAGTGACCTTGACCTTAACATCCGGACTTGAAAAGCAATCTTAGGCAAGCACTTTTGGTAAGGAAGCACTGTATGAAGTTTGAGTTTGATCGGCCCGAGGAAAGTCAAGTTATCGTATGAAAACAAATTTTCTATTTATAGTAACAGGGACCTTGACCTTTGATCTTCGGATCTGAAAAGCAATCCCAGGCAAGCACTTTTGGTAAGGAAGCACTGTATGAAGTTTGAGTTTGATCGGCCAAAGAATACTCAAGTTATTGCACTAAAACAGATTTTCTATTTATAGTAACAGTGACCTTGACCTTTGACCTCCGGACTTGAAAAGCAATCTTAGGCAAGCACTTTTGGTAAGGAAGCACTGTATGAAGTTTGAGTTTGATCGGCCCGAGGAAAGTCAAGTTATCGCATGAAAACAGATTTTCTATTTATAGTAACAGGGACCTTGACCTTTGACCTTCGGATCTGAAAAGCAATCCCAGGCAAGCACTTTTGGTAAGGAAGCACTGCATGAAGTTTGAGTTTGATCGGCCCAAGAATACTCAAGTTATTGCACGAAAACAGATTTTCTATTTATAGTAACAGTGACCTTGACCTTTGACCTCCGGACTTGAAAAGCAATCTTAGGCAAGCACTTTTGGTAAGGAAGCACTGTATGAAGTTTGAGTTTGATCGGCCCGAGGAAAGTCAAGTTATCGCATGAAAACAGATTTTCTATTTATAGTAACAGGGACCTTGACCTTTGACCTTCGGATCTGAAAAGCAATCCCAGGCAAGCACTTTTGGTAAGGAAGCACTGCATGAAGTTTGAGTTTGATCGGCCCAAGGAAACTCAAGTTATCGCACGAAAACCTCTGTGCGGACGCCGCCGTATATAAAAAAATATAGAATTTCACAGCAAACCCCCTACCTCGACACATTGTCTCGTCATTATGTATCAACCTACGAATTTTCATTGACCTCAGGGTATGGCTGACCTTAGAATGCAACAGGTTGTCCAGTTATAATACATCTATATCTATGAACACAATCTGTTTTATTTATAGCAACATTGTACTGAACAAACAGAATTTGTCTTGTGACAAATCTCCTCGTACATCATTAAGTATGACTGACCTTTGACCTCTTGGCTGTCCTCTTCAGTCTGTTGAGAATCTCCGTCATACGAACAAATCCATGTATCAAGTTCTGGTGCTCTGTCGTACTTTTCTCTTCATATATATCACATCTGTCAAATAGAATGATAAACGATAATTGTCCATAAAATCACTGAAGCATCAAACTGTGTTGATATGGCATTTATAGTCTAAATGAATGACACTGCATTGCAGGAAAAATATCATAATGCATGCCATATGTTTGCACTAACATGGCGTCTCTTTGGCCCAGGGACCTTTTTTATGAAAGCAGGTTAAAATTTCTTCAATACTACTAAAGGAGTAGTCTTTTAAAAATATTTACCTCTATTTTACCATAATCTCCACTACCAGGTGAGTCACACCCTTTGTTTAAAGAAAATGTGTGTTTCTTGGCCATATAATAAATGTTCAAATTTTCTCCTAAGATACTGGATAAGGGGGAAAACCTGATTAATGGTGCTGGAATTAATAAGTCATGATAGTACTTCGTGGTATACATATCATTCCTTAAAACTGACCGTGGGTGTCCATCAATAATCCTCTTTGTAGCTGCATTGTTACAGGGCATGATGAGGAATCGACTTCTCCAGAACTTCAGTGACTGTAAACAACGACACTATATCAATGCTCTCACTCTTACTAGTCAATGTCACAATTATACCTGAATTTGAGATCATCCAGGATTATTGTTCACTGGAAATGATGACCACGGTAAGAGCCATATTAACACAGCTAGAAAACCTTTGTAAGACATGAGTATCCCCTCTTACTCTGCAAGTTTATGACAATGTATCTGCTGATATAACTGATTGACTTATAAATAGCAAGTGACTTGGTGTTGATCTTGGGACTGTTAAATACAAACTTTTCCAAATCAATTTCATCATAGACTTTTGTATGGACTTTGATCAAAATCTGTCAGTAGAGCTGTGACAACGAATCGTGCTGGTACTACAGGGCTACAGATGTACCAGTCAACCTTTAACACCACCAGACCGTAGTCCCCCTTCCCACAAGTACAGATGAACCAGTCAACCCTTACCTCCACCAGACCGTAGTCACCCTCCCCACGAGTACAGATGTACCAGTCAACACTTACCTCCACCAGACCGTAGTCCCCCTCCCCACGAGTACAGATGTACTGATCAAGGTAATTCCAGTTGTAGTTCTCAAGTTTCTCATTGCGGAACTCGCTCCAGGATACATCATAGCTGAGTGAGTCTGGAGCCTGGAACCGGTAACAGTAGGGAAGCTTCAGCTCAGGGGCTGGGTGTCTATCCAAAACAACGAAAGTATAAATCAACATTTGTGGGATGTTTAAATTCACAAGCCATTCAGATTAATATGTCTCGCTTGTGACCCGCTTTGACCATCAATGCACATATCAGAGAAACTAACTTAAACGCAAAAACTTAATGTTGATGGGGATGCTGACAAAGTCAATGGACCATGAAAGGTAGGCTGCATCCAGCATTTGATGCATTGGTTGATGTGTACTACCTGAGATGCATCTATGGTCCAAGTTTGGTTGGTCTAGCATGTATACTTTCAGTGAAACTAACTTAAATGCAAAACCTAAATGCTGACACCGCTGTCGGAAAAGTAACACCTAAGTCTAGCTTCCGCTACTTCGTGGCGGCAAAACAGTAATCAACAAATCAGCAAATTCCTCTTAGAAATGGTTTACAGTACTTTTAATACATTCAGTATTAAGATATCTATATTTCTTTTCAGTGAGATTGAATTGATATTAATTGGTTTAATTAGAATTAAATATCAGTTTGTCGCATACAAAAGGTTACTCTTGTCTCTCCGTAAATGAAGTACTCTGATAACCTAGAGAACAATTTGTCAAGTAACACTGCACAAGAAAAAAACTTTAGCAATACAATATTAGCAGCTACCTTCTGCCAGAGCTGTTTGAAACTTCAACATTTTAGTGAGTAAGAAGACTCACCGCTGACTTGGCTATGCTGTGCCCTCCTATCCCCTAAATCTATCTGAAATGACACACCACTCACCGCTGACTTGGCTATGCTGAGCCCTCCTATCCCCTAAATCTATCTGAAATGACACACCACTCACCACTGGCCTGGCTATGCTGTGCCCTCCTATCCCCTAAATCTTTCTGAAATGACACACCGCTGACTTGGCTATGCTGTGCCCTCCTATACCCTAAATCTATCTGAAATGAAACACCACTGACCTGGCTATGCTGTGCCCTCCTTTCCCCTAAATCTTTCTGAAATGACACACCACTGACTTAGCTATACTGTGCCCTCCTATACCCTAAATCTATCTGAAATGACACACCACTGACTTGGCTATGCTGTGACCTCCTATACCCTAAATCTATCAGAAATGACACACCACTGGCTTGGCTATGCTGTGCCCTCCTATACCCTAAATCTATCTGACATGACACCACTGGCTTGGCTATGCTGTGCCCTCCTATACCCTAAATCTATCTGACGTGACACCACTGGCTTGGCTATGCTGAGCCCTCCGATACCCTAAATCTATCTGACATGACACCACTGGCTTGGCTATGCTGTGCCCTCCTATACCCTAAATCTATCTGACATGACACCACTGACTTGGCTATGCTGAGTCCTCCTTTACCCTAAATCTATCTGAAATGACACACCACTGACTTGGCTATGCTGAGCCCTCCAGTACTGTTATCTACTTTGGATGATATATAACCGAGTCGATGATGCTTTGTTTTACACCGGTACCTACCTTGGGCTGTATCTGGTAACCGTAATGTCGGACGCAAGTACCGTGACTTTATGGAATATCCGTCCTATACTCAGGTAACATTCCTCCTACAAGATAGAACATACACTTACACATAATCTATAACAGAAGAACATTTCCTTTATGGTTAAAAAAATGAAATGTGGAATAAAAATACTCCATCCTGTCTGATGCTGACAGGAAATCTCAACCTTGGGGACAAAATGTTTAAGTTTAGAACTCAGCTCAGCCTCATTAGGTTGTAATTTCACTATATGGGAGTGATACCCTGGTAGATTTCATAATTCAAAGTGTACACTCCTATCAGTTTACTTAGATCTTCATTTTCAGCACTAACTTTTTATTGGTTCAAAACTCACAGTTTGATCAAGTATTGCAGTGTTTGAGCTTTACCCTGTTGCTATGATCTTGACCCAGAGAATTGGGACCTACATGTGGTACATAACACTCCGTCATGAAGTAATACATTGTACAAATATACTACAAACACAAGCTATACAGTATAACAACAATATCACAGCAATTTTTCATCAGCTACATGTGTAATATCATCCTTTGTGTCTCACAAGGAACATTAAGGTAATGTCAAAATTTCCAAGTAAAATTGATGCTGATTTGCTTTTATTTTTTCTGTCTAAACAACCAGAAAATATGCATTTTATCATGCTTTAGTTGAGTGTATGATAAAAAGAATCTCAAATTCATTCCCAAATACACTTCGATTTTTACAGAGCTCTCTCAAGCTCATTTCATATACATGCTATGTAATGGGAACTCAATTTTATTCTTTTTATCTCAGAGGTGCATCATGTAATGTTCAGCTGCTCTGAAATCAGCGTCCAGAAAAGCATGACTGGAATTTGACATTTGACCTGTTGCTCTAACCTTGACCTTGGAGATATGGACCTGTGTTTAATTACAGGTAATGTACCTGGGGACACTACATTTGAACAAGTTTTCAAATTTAATAAAAAATATGTATTGGACATTTTTCAAGGGAGCCATCTAGAGTCTGACTGTGACGTACCGACTGCTCTGTGCGAGGTCGCGCCCTGATGAGTCCGACGGTGTGTTGGTATTGTGGACTAGACCCTAGCGACACCTGGTGAGCTTTGGAGCGTGGCGTCTTGTTGACAATGACTTGAAATCCTTGGGAGAGACGTTGGGAAACCAGCTCTTTGAACACCTGCTTAGACGTCAGGTTCTTCCTCTTAAAGTACTTCTCATCTGTTGATAGACTGGTAAAGACAAATTAATTTGGTATAGAGTTCCACTGGCATTTTGATTCCTATTCACTCTAGGCATATTGTAGCAAATGATTACATCCATGTGTATATCATTTTAAAATTATATTTATCACATAATGTACGGTGTTATTCAGTGAATATACCCATGTCATATTTTGTTTTGCGTAATAACCCATGTAATATGACCTATCAGCCCTGTGATTGGTTGTAAGTTTCAATTGTTTGTGTTTGCAATTGTTTTCAATTATGACATCACGCCGAGGATAAGTACATGACGTCACAGCCTTATGCACTAGAGTCAAAATGGCGGCTTTTTACATTTCAATGTTTCGTGAAAATTGTCGCTTTGCACGAATGAATGCCACAAATCTTGATGATGTGATAAAAAGGATCTTACACTGGTTTTTATTTCATATGGTATTTATGACACTCATCACAAATTTTTGACAGAGGCTCACTAAATTGAAAAATTCTCCAACTCGTTTTATAAATTTTATATGAAATGGAAACTCATGTAAGATCCTATATGTATGTATTAGATATTAGGAGGTAGTACTGACTGGTACACAACCTGAAATTATTAAATAAAATAAAATTTATCTAGAATATAAATTACCCATTTGTATGGGATTATTCATTATTCACCCTAGGACACTACTGCAAAGTTCTACATTAGGAGTGTTTGATCACCTATTATTTATTATCATTAAATATGTTACACAATTTCTCTTTAAAACATAATTCTGGTGTATAAGTTGATGCTATTCCTAAATCAAACAGAAGAAAAACAAATGTTGGAGACTTCCAAAATTTCAAACATATTCCTCTCATTCCCATCTTATATCATTATTGCCTTCCGTGGACTAGCTGAACATTTGAACAGAAGAGTCAATCTTTTATTTTTATTTTTCTGTATTGTTTCATGTTCATTGACAAATTTAGCCATTTATGTTTTTTTTTTACAATTAAGATCATGGAAACATAATCTCAAAAACTTAAGTAGTAAAGAATTACTCCAAGCTTCACAAAAATGGATTTATATCATAAAATTTTGACAGAAATGACCTTGACCTTGTTACTGTCTGACCATTATGACCATGACTTTTATTACCTCTGGTAGTCCATACCGTAGTCACCATCCTGTTCAGGCAGCAGACCATACGCTGCGAAAACATAGTCCGTCTGCAGACTCTTTTTGTCAGGGAAGTAGTCAGTGGTGATGGGGAGGGATGCAGGGATCGTCAGAGACTTCCAGTCCACACCTGGTCACACAGGGACAATATATGTCAACACAAAAAGCTATGGTCACTACAGTTTTATACAAATCAAATTCACAAGTGATACCTGTTAAAATAGTCAACAAAATTCCAACAGACAATTCATCTATGTAATGATTTACTGAATATACAGAAAAAAGTCATTATTCAGCTGTATTTAAGTATAAACCTACTGTAGTTGCATGCATTATTGAGCTTTAAAACTGATTTCCTCAATTAATTAAGCTTGTGTTCTGAAATGACTGGTAATCTATTAGGCCGATGTGTCTCAGGGATTCTGAATACAAATAACACAAAAACCAAGAGGCTTGTATCGCTCACCTGTAATATATATCACAAACCAATTCTCTTATCTAATCCTGCAAACTTTACCTCTAAATCTGCCTGTATGCATAGAAGAAAATGAGGGTGAAAAATCAGGAGACTCCCTCCAAAATACTGAGTACAGCGTACCATGTTGATATAGGAATGAAGTATGTAAATCTTGAATGTCTTTGCCCATCAGTAGTACTGAGGTTTATTTCAAAGTATAATAATTTACTTTAAAACATGTTTGACAGGGAGAAGTAGCTGCTTAGATGGTTATAGAACACTGCTAAGATAGACGACAGATATCAGCAATGGAATAGCATACCGATTCTACCAGGCAAGGTCAACAGGGAAATCAGTAATAACAATATCATGGCTTATCATTAGTCTGGTGGGAATGGAAATCTAAGCATGCAACGCTATGATAGCCATGCTCAGGTAGAACCCCTACACTGTCCAAGCAACTGGACATCCATTATACTCAAGGAACAAGTACATCAATAATCTTTACGATTCTCATCGCATCTGGGAAAATTGACTCATGTAAATCATTTTATTTCCAAAAGTGCATAATGCTTCAAACGATTTCAAACTTTCCCTATCAGATGTAGAATTTACAAAACAGTTCATAACTTAAACCTTCAAATCAACATGTGTCTATACATGCTTGAAAATTTGATACAATCTATAGCATCATATCATTCAGTCCATATATCATATATATATTTTTAGATCAAAATGAATTTGTAATAAGAAAATTCTATAAAGAAGAGTAAAATACTGTACATCGGGAAAATTTCGCCCAGTCATATTTTCACCCATTCAACGGTAAAATCCATTTTCACCCGTTATTAAATTTGCCCTTCACATTTGATTACTATATATATTATGTTATTTACAAATGTTCGCTGTAATGATTAATTAGCGAAAAATAAACAGCAGCGAAAACTTCCCTGTGTACAGTAGATGTCAAGTGAAATAAAAATGATTCACACTATATTTCACAGTGCGTGTTTACCATACCAAGTCGTCACCCTAATGTAATAAAATAAAACATTTCATTTCAAATGTTTCTGCAAAAGGAAGCAAACCAAGAAATATATGTTAGTAAGTAAAAGAAAACCACTACATAGGCGAAAGCTATTTCAAGTGCCATCTCAATCAAAGAACTGACCCGAAAGATATGCTAAATTTAGCCACACGCAGGTATATACGTCATTACAGCCACACACAGGTATAAAAGTCATTACAGCCACACACAGGTATTAAAGTCAATTTAGCCAAACTAAGGTAAAAATTAGCCACACACAAGTATAAAAGTGAAGTTAATTATTTTAATTAGTGTATATCAAACAAATTTTATCAGAAATGAAATGTTTTCAATCTCAATAAAAGAGAGTTTTCAGGATGAAATACAGCACAAGAAATACTTTGCTAATTCATGTACTTAGGAGATGTTCTTCATGCAAATCACCATCATGCAGGTATTTTGTTTTTATAATTATCTCACATTTTTACTGCAAATTAACACAAGCACTTAGCCCCATGCAATCTAAAATTGATGCAAATTTTTTAATGATCTATAAATTGCTAAAACCCCGAAGCTCTAAATAATTCTAGCGATAAAAAAACATATTTTGCTTTAAAAAAATCCAACCTTCCTTTTCAAAATCCATGGGATTGAAAAACATAAAGCACCTTTACATTAGTGTGGTAGGGTATACATACTTTATATTACAGTGTGGTAGGGTATACATACTTAACATTACAGTGTGGTAGGGTATACATACTTAACATTACAGTGTGGTGGGGTAAACATACTTTATATTACAGTGTGGTAGGGTATACATACTTAACATTACAGTGTGGTAGGGTATACATACTTTATATTACAGTGGGGTAGGGTATACATACTTAACATTACAGTGTGGTAAGGTATACATACTTTACTTTACAGTGTGGTAGGGTATACATACTTTACTTTACAGTGTGGTATGGTATACATACTTTACTTTACAGTGTGGTAGAGTATACATACTTTACATTACAGTGTGGTAGGGGATACATACTTTATATTACAGTGTGGTAGGGGATACATACTTAACATTACAGTGTGGTAGGGTATACATACTTAACATTACCGTGTGGTAGGGTATACATACTTTACATTACAGTGTGGTAGGGTATACGTACGTAACATTACAGTGTGGTAGGGTATACATACTTTACTTTACAGTGTGGTAGGGTATACATACTTTACTTTACAGTGTGGTAGAGTATACATACTTTACATTACAGTGTGGTAGGGTATACATACTTTATATTACAGTGTGGTAGGGTATACATACTTAACATTACAGTGTGGTAGGGTATACATACTTTACATTACAGTGTGGTAGGGTATACATACTTGTATGGGTCGTAATGTAAGTGTACAGTTACTTCACAAAAAATAACAATAACCCTTAATCTATTTGTTCGATGATCATGAACACTTTATACTACTTTCCACACACCAATATCACAGATGTTAGTTAACAGGAAATGTATGTGTCCGGACTACCGACATAATAAATAAACTTTCATTGTCAGTTCTTTTATTAACTTTTAAAATCAGGTGATGGAACAATTCTAATATACGTAACAGAAATAGGACAGAACCCGAAATGAGGCTGAACGAAGCCTCTATTTGACAAGGACAGTAGTTTGTGTGAGATGCTACTTGGAGCCCGAGCCAACCCAAATGGTGATGTCAAATCATTTCAGCATCAGATAAACTCCTTCTGGTTTCCCTCTGATAATTATGCACAGATTAAGGGTTTTCTTTTATTGCAAATAAAATTTTGAAATAGACACATGGAAATGTTTTTGAGCTTGTTTTGGCTCTTGAGCATTTGTCAAGGTCCAGGAACTACTGAATATTTGTCTGTGACTTTAAAACCACATAACCCGATATCTAGGTGCTAATTATCCGAGTATTTAGGCGAATATGACAGATTTTACCTTGCAAATAATGGCAACAAAAACAGACCAATGAAAAATACTTAATTTCAATGAAAACTTTCAATCAGTTGTTCAAAAATGACTTACACACTATGACGAGGTAATAGGAAATATCCCGATGTCTATAGATTTTTGCAACTAAGTTATTTGACTTTTCTATCTCATTAATCATATCGTTTGACCTTTTGATGGAAAGTGTGAAGGAAAATACATTATTGTACATTGTGCATGTATGTTGGAGTCTAGGAATTTCGACCCTAGGTTGAATACACCAATAAATAGAATAACATTTGATAAACTCATTTCTGTCTTAGAACAAACAATCGTGTGTTATGCTGGATACACTGATATGGGGTATAAAGTACAGAGCTGGAAGAACTCATTTTGACATAAATGTGAAGGTATACAAACGGAAACTCTTAATATTTTATAGGCGTGTTCCATTGAAAGATACCAATTTATTGCCAAATTTAAGACAATTTTTTTACACAATCTACAGCAGATATAAATCTCTATCATATCATAGTGAGGAAATCTACAAATTAATTTAATTTTGTTCCTCCCCTTATAAATGTAGGCAATCCTTTTTTTTCTGGCATAAACAACCCTTGTTTTGGTTGGAAAAAAAAAATAATATCATGTTATACTGGTCTTTCAATTAAATCTATGCACAGCTTATATTTAAGTGTTAGGAAAAAGGTATCATAAATGAGTAGTGAGTATATAAGAAATGAAATTGAAATCAGAGAAAAAATGTTCAAATCCTATGCCTAATGAAATTTAAATTAATTTTAAGAACAAATGATAAATGTGCTTCTCCTGGAAGGCTTAGGTGTAGAATTCTGATCGCTCCCATTGGTTTACATAGTAATGTCATCAGAGAATTCTCTAATGTCAAGATTGTCTACATCACCTGAAATTGACAGTAGAGCTGCAGTTCCAAATAGAAAATGTTTTCTTTCACAAATTTTCTCTAAATAAGCTGTCGTATTGCAACTTTTCATGCAAACCAAGGAAAAACTTTAAAGACTTTTAGGAATGGAACATTTGGTCCACTGCGATCATATGCACTGCAACCCGCCATGTAACTAAGTTTACACTTGTACATGCTGGAGTGCCACGGTGTGCTCTCAATACAAGGCCGATTACACTCATTATGTAAAACAGAAGCCCAGAACCCTTAACTCATTCACTCCTGAAGACACATTTGAACTCTTCTAATTCAAAGGTTGGAATAGTTCATTATGAAATTTCAGGGGTGAATGAGTTAATAAGTCACCCGAGTGAAAATATAAATGATATACACAGTGCTGAGATGATCTAACATCATATAAATATGGATGGGAGTTGGGGTGGAAGGGGTCATAGGTCATCAGAACTCTAGAGTACTTCACATACAACTTGTACAGATGTGCTGCATAACCTGAATTTCATATGAGGCTGAATAGAAAGGTCGTTACTTCATGTAAGTTAACCTTGTGAGGAACATATATGTACATCTAACAGATCAAGACGTTTTTACTAATCTTGATGTCTTATTAGGTATGTTTGAAAGGTTCTGACCTCATTTGAGATATAGTTTAAAGGGACATGAATTCATGCAAAGTAACCCTGACCGCATTTGAGGTAAGAACTAACCCTAGGCTAACCTTACTTGGATTATATTTTAAAAGTCAAAGACATTGTGTGAACTAAACCAGACTTCATCAGAGCTATATTTGCAAGGTCAAGGCTTCAGGTAAGCTAACCATGCCCTAATTTAGGTATGTTTAAGTTCATGACCATATATGAACTAACGTGAACTAACCCTGCCGTTATTTGTGATACATTTTAAGTAAATGGACTAATAAGAATATATTGGACATCAAGCAGATATGATAGACCAGCAGTACATTTGTACAAAAGGTAAGAAGACACACAGATCAGTAAACTACAATGACCAAATATGGTAACAGGTGCTTTATCTAACCCGACACTGCTGTAATCACACAGGGGCATTTAAAAACAGTTTTTACTTCAGTTTTTTTGGGTGAAATAGTGACCCTTACCTATCAAAAAAAGAGTTCTGTTTGTTCGAAATCTAGATAGCGTAAATTACTTTATCCTAGTTTGCAGCAAACCAGGCTTACCAAATTCCCTTGCTCCATCACAAGCATATGAACAATAAAGTGCAATGTGAACAAAAACAAAATCAATATCATCCTAAGTATACCAGCAGTCACAAATATACCAACACAAAAGATGGTATTTTAATCCGTCTAACAGATCTCAACTTACGGGCATAGACTCATCATTGAATCAGAGACTGAGTAAGTCATTTTGAATCCTTAACCCATGTGGAAAAGTTAATAATGTTAATTCCATTATGGGAGTTCTACGGCAAACAACGGATTATATCAACTTGGAGAGCTTCAAGATGACGTACACATCTTTAGTTAGACCACACATTGAATACACAACTCAGGTCTGGTGTCCTCATCTCAAAAAACACAGAGAAACAATAGAAACTGTTCAATGTTGGGCAACAAAGCAAATATCAGGCCTACAAGACTTATTCTATATAGAGCGATAACCAAAAACTAAAACTGCTGACATCAGCATATTGGAGTTCAGACGGTGACTTGATAAAAGTCTACAACATTATGTGTCCAACACCTTTAATAATACCAGGGTAGGTTTATCTACAGGTGGACACAATTTTAAAACATATATAAGAAAAAAGATTAAATATTAGAAAATATTCATTTACACTGAGGACTGTCGATGAATGGAACAATTTTCTGTCTATTGTTTGTAAGTTAAAGCACTGTCAAGTAATACAAATATAAATTATATGAACACTGGAAAAATAAAATGCAAAAATACTGTTTCAGGGCAGAAATCAAACTGCTGCATGTCACCCTGCAATATTGTTTTGTGAAGGAGGATGTGTATGCTGTTTTGTGCAATATCATTTTGTTTAAGTAGCTATGCTTAATAAAAGAATTCAATTTAACAAAATGTGCAGGTTGTACTCCATTTGCAGAAAGCTGTGAAAGATTAGACAAAGCACCAAACCTAAGGCCACCCATGTTTAGTTGGAAAATATCATTATGTCTTTTCAAAACATTTAAAAATTACCTCTAGAAAGGAAGTTTTCTTAAATCTCATGTACAATGAGAATGGTAAGAGGCATTTTGGGGATCATTCAATCGTACGTAATTGTAACAATATCTACATCAATACAGTATCGGTTGCTTTTTTGCAACATTTTTTTCTTTGACATTTATTCAGATTCTTCAGTAACATGGATTTAAAATAACTTCCTGTCACGATATCAAATAGAAAACAAGGGTTCACAACAGATTTACACATTAATGTCTTACTGATGCAGGCACAGAATTGTTTAGAGTTTATATCAGCATTAAGTATAGGCTTGACGAGACAGGACTTGCTGCTTGCTGCCTTATCGTACTCCAGGGGGCGCCAGTCATGTCCTGAAAGGTCAAAAGGTCATAGCCTTGCTGTCAGTAGTGTTCTCTGTGAGGCTGAACATGATAATCAAATGTTAATGAAATTTTTTAAAAATGTTTCGGGTCTCATCTCATACCTATCATCTTCATATTTTTGTTTTGGTAGTTGAATTCCGCTGTCAAACCTTGAAAGCTTCATCCCATGCCAGACTGTCATTTCATGATACATTTTAGATTTATTCATTACAACAATATGTTAAAAGAAACTTGCTTCATAGTATTTTCTTCTTTTTGATTTGTGTGTTGACATGTATTTATCTGTTGCTTGTAACCAATACATATAAGCCATGAAAACGACTTTTAAATTATTATCAGGAAAAAGAAAAAGAAATTGCAAACTATATGAGTCTATATCAAAGGTTGATATTTGTTAGTGTTTGACAGCACCGACCGCTGATACATTACTTCGATCAATTAATCATAAAGCAATATTACTATTGAGGTTAATTAATACTGTTTCCATCTTTAAAAATGCCAAAAAAGCCAATATCTTCAACCTGAGATACTGGTAGTTCCAATATTTATTTAATGTAATGATCATAATAAACATTTATAATGGCAAGTCCATTACTTTAGTTGATGTGGCAGTTCTTTTAATTGCCTACATTTAATATCACACTAGTGTTGGTCAACATTTTTGGACTTTATTATTTTCTTTATCCAAATGAAGGTGAAAAGAATGCCCAAATGTTGATTTTGGTAGATGTTTTTAGTTACTAAAAGTATAATGTATAGGACTGGTATAATGCAAAACAAGAATACCGCAGGGCGGAACAACATACGCCCGTCGAATGCCATATAGTAGTGGTGTCACGGTTCAGGAATTGTTCGGTTCGGTTCAGTTATCATTTTTGTTGTCGGTTTTCGGTTATTTCTGTTCGGTTCAGGCAACTTTGTAATCTATGTATTTTATATACACAATCACAAGTAGAATACGTAAACAAACTTCATTATGTACACACTTAAAACAGTAATATACAATTGTCTACTAGTCTTCTTCTGAAGCTATTGGGTATAAAGATACTAACACGAAGAATCTCTCACTTGTATTAGGTATTTCAATGTCCACAACTGTTCCATCTTACCATAAGTTGACTTGTTGAAAAATCTATGTAATATATATTTCCTTCATTATATCATGCAAATACCTTAGTCTCCATTGCACAAATTGTACAATCTATGTACTTACTGGACAATCATGTTCTTTCCTTTATTATATCATGGCCTGCAAACATTTCATTCTCCATTTTAAGTAAGTTGCCAGTGCTAACCTACCTCTTGTTTATTATGTATGTATGTTGCTCATGCACATTAAGTTTTGACAATCTGACTAGAATCATAAAATAAACAAGAGGCCCATGGGCTTTAACGGTCACCTGAGTCCTATAGCATTTATTTTTGTTATTGAAATATGTACCCATTTGAGTAAAAAATAGTTAAGTATAACGTTAACTTAAGTTTGTCAGGACCATGAGCTGATCATTCCTAGATCAAGTTTCAGTCAAATCGACCTATTAGAACTTGATTTTAAGTTTGAAATAGTTATTTTTAAAATGGCAGCCATATTGGATTTCTGATTGACCAAAAAAACCCACCCCACTTTGTCAGGACCATGAGTCGATCATTCCTACCAAGTTTCAGTTAAATCGGCCTAGTAGAACTTGACTTTAAGTTTGAAATAATTTTTCATAATGGGGGCCATGGCAGCCATATATGATTTCTGATCGACCCAAAAAATAGCAACACTTGGTCGGGGAGATGTCAGTAACCTTCCCATGAAGTATCAATGAAATCCCTTTGCCAGTATTTCAGCTTAAGTTGAAAATGTAAAATGTTAACAGACGACGATCGATGAAGTCTGATAGCGATAGGAATCCAGTTCCATTCGTAGCTGCTGATTTCCAAGTTATATTAGATATATAGGCCGACATTGATTGAAGAGGTAAATCCAGAGAAGTGTTTAATTTGTGTTTATACATATATCCAGTGTACAGTTACCGCTTGTGCACAAGACTGCCTGCGATGAGAAAATCCAAGTCGAAGCTGCCATTTCAAACAATCCTATAAGAACACGGTCGTACTTATCATTGCGGTTGCATGACTACGGAGTCAGGGGCGTGTATCGATCGAGATATGACACAAATACACGCCTTTGCTGCTACCAAATATCTACGACCCACTTATACAGGATCGAACCGAAATACGGAAATTATGAACCGAACCGTGGTCTTTTGAATCGCGGTTGACCGTTATTTCGGTTGACGTTGACATTCCTACCATATAGTGATATACATTTTCTTACATTGAAATAAGATCTGCATCATTCTAAGAGTGGTTAGCCGACATGCTATAAACAAGAGGTCCAATGGGCCTGCATCGCTCACCTGGTATTAATCTCACACTTGTAATCCTAAAAGTGGACTAAAATACAGCTACAAGCAGAATATCAGTGTGTGATTCATAAGAACCTATTAAGAGATTTAAACATATGACTCCTCTGACCTTGAATGTCGAACAAGGACATTAGGTTGAAAGTGGGTCAAGGTAATTTATTTGAACAAACTTGGTAGCCCTTCATCCCAGCATGCTACAGCCCCAATATCAGTACCCAGGGGCTTTTGATTATTGAGAAGTTGTTTGAAGATTTTAAAAACATTTGACCCCTGTCACCTTGAAAGTGGGTCAAGGTCATTCATTTGAACAAACTTGATAGCCCTTCATCCCAGCATGCTACTGGCCAAATATCATTACCCTAAGCCTTTTGGTTATTGAGAAAAAGTTGTTTAAAAGTAAAATATTGACACTGGACGACGGACAGACCGACGGACGGTGCACCACGGCATAAGCTCACTTGGCTCATTGGGCCAGGTGAGCTAACAAGAAGCCCATGGGCCTTAACGGTCACCTGATATATTTATACAGAGAGTTGATTTTGTTTTTAACATGAACAGAAATATTATTCAAAGTGACAAAAAACAATAAAACCACCTTATTCAATATCTAGCATACAGATTTCAGACTAAAAAGGATTTGAAACTAGCACCTCTGATTCTTAACAAGGAAAATGAAGAAATTTTAGCACACTGACTCCTTTGAGCCCCACCCTACAG